TTTACTTTTCAGTTGTTCATTTTTAGGGTTCCGTACACCTACGGTGCATCGGCGGAACCCTATTGGTGAGACTCTGTTGTCCGTAGCCAAATCGTGTCCCCCCCCTAGCGGCTAAACTATTTGACCTAGAGAGCTCAAATTTGGTACAGATATGTATTTTCACACGTAGATTACAGGAAAAATATAGAGAATGTGTTTGGAGATGATGGTCATAGCGTTGTCAAGGAAATAACAAGATTTTTGGCCAAAAATGCATAAAAAGTGACCATTCCCCCCCACCCCCCTTAACTTCTAAACTATTCAACATGGAGGGGTAAAATTTGGCATACTGGTGTATTTTATCGTAAATATTACAGGAAAAATATAGAGAACTTGCTATGTATTAATGTCCATAGCGTTGTCAAGGAAAAACTAAAAAAAATTTTGAAATTTTTTTTTTTTTTTAATTTCTACATTATTTGATCTAATTAACTAAAAATGGGTTTATTAGTCTATTTTTACAGTCTGATCACAAAAAATATATTTAAAAATCTAAAAAAAAAAAATTAAAAAAATTTTTTTTTTTTAGATTTTTTAACAAAAAATTTTTTTTTTACATTTTTTAAAAATTTTTTACAAAACTTTAAAAATAAAACAATAAAAACAGCAACAAATTTTGTTCCTCTACTTATTATTGTTTACAATATTAGATATATACAATACTTTAATTTTTTTATTTATTTTTTTTATCAAATGATATTAATATATTTTTTTAATTGTTTATTTTAATTCTACCAATTACCGATAAATGTTGCAAGTATTGTTTTAATATTTGTGTACGGAACCCGCCATTGCAGTGCGAGTTCAACTCGCACTTGTCCAATTTTTTTTTTATTTTTATTAAATTTAATAATAACAATTTAACACAATTGTCTAATTTTGTAAATAATAAATTATTTAAACAAATTAAAATTATAAACAAAATTTAAACTTTAATCTCAATAATAATTTGGTTCCTATTAAAATACTATTATACTTCTTACTACGAATAAAAAATTATTAAAAAATTACCACGTAATTTAAGAATTACGTAAAATGTTAAATGCAATAAGTAAAGTAATTTAATTTAATTATTAAAAATTTAGTTTAATTTATTTTATTTCAATTTATTATTTCTAACGTATCCCTATTTTTTTCTTATCTTTGACTCAACAATTGTATGTCTGAATGATACTGAGATATTATTAATACTTTACTGTACACATGTGTCGTTAGCATAGTGGTTAGAGCGTTAGTCTGTTAGTCCGTAGGTCGTAGGTTCGATTCCCCTCGTCAGCAATTTTGTTTATTTTCATAGGTTTGCGATATTTCTAGATTCCAATTGTTAGGTACTAAAATATGAAAATCTAATGCACACTTACTGTAATTGTTTATTATTTAATTTTTAAATGTTATAAACAATTTTTTTCTACTTCATTTACTATATCCATTGTTAGTCTCCATCTTAAATACAATTTCTTTAAGAAAAGAAATATTTTATGAATAATAACTATTTATTAATATTATTTACAATTTTGTTGTTAAATTATTTATAATTATTAATTTACGACTAATTAATAAAAATACGGCATTTATTGTATAATAAATTTGTCAGACAGAATGTCCAAAATAAAAGGTCCAAATTTAGAATGTCCAATAGTTATAATGTCCAATGGTAAAAATTTCCAATAGTTAGAATGTCCGAAGATAAAAATGTCCAAAACTTAGAAAGTCCAAAATTTCCAAAAACTCCAAACGACAAAAAGTCCACCACTTTAAAATCCAAAAAGAAAAAAAATCAAAAATCCGAAATAAAAAAGAATGAAAAATTTAAACAAGTATATTTCGTATACATATTGTCTTTTGTTTGATATGAAGTTTCCCTGGTTACAGTAACAGTCGTGTCAAAACATTTTTCGCGTTCGGATCACATCAAAATTTTCGTGCGGTTTTAAGTTGCAAATTTAGTTAAAATGTCTGACCCCAGGAGGAAAAGTCGGACGAATGTCGGATTATACAACCGCCTGGGATCCGCGCCCGTACGGACCGCCAGCACCGATGGTCTGTACCGATTCGGATCCTAAAATGCAACCGGCGCGGAACAGATTAGGCTCCGACTTTTGTATCCGCCTTTCTACTTTCGTCAGTACTGGCGCGGTACTGGATTTGTTCCGCCTGCAGATTTCATTCTTCTACGCGCGTCGGAAGAATGACGGATGTTAGGTCTGTACTGGCTCGGTGCTGGGGCGGATCCGACTGCGGATCTCGTCATTTATTGTTATAGTTTACATTATCAGTATAATCATAAATTTATTTTATTATTATAATTAATTATTACAATAACTAATTGCATTTATTATAATATTATTATTAGTTAACCAATAAATAAATTAATAGTATTCATGCAAAGGAAGAATAAAAGAAACTTAATTTTTTCATTATATATATAAAAATCCAACTTTATTAATGCGCAATTAAATAAATAATTTTTAATAAATAATATATTAATTTGAAAGAAGTAAAATATATTTAACTTGAAAGAAAATGTGATCAATATATTATAATGCCTACAATAAATACCTAACATATTAAATACAATATATAAAAAAGAGATTATTATTAATTAATTAATAATCTCTTTTTAATTTAAACAATATATTAAGTAATTATTTATTGACACTTTTCTGCAAATTAAATAATTAAAAAAATGTGTTGTGCATTAAAATTTTATTCAATTTAATACTATTACTTATATGTTATAAATTTTGTTTTGCAGTGAAGTTATGTTCATATTATTCGATATATTATGTAATAAAATATTAAAAAACATAATAATAAAAATATAACATTTTTTTTAAACGAAATATTGAAATATTCATAAATACACATTCAGTAAAGTATTGAAAATATACCGGTATTACATCAGTTCGTATTTCCAAATTGCCTATTGCCGCGTAGTAATTTTACAATTTTCATTTTAGCTAGTGAGACTTGAAAGCATTTAAGGTTTGAGAGTTCCATGCGAGCGTAGCATAGTGGTTAGCGTGCGAGATTTCGGTGCGTAAATATTCGGTTAGGCGTAGGTTCGTACCCCCAAGCGTTAGGATTTTTCAAATGTGTATGTAATAAAAAATTGCGTTTAAGTGTATAAAGAAATAAAAAAATGTGTAAAGTGAACTGTCAATGAATTGTTATCAGTATTTATCTTTTGCAATTAATTATTATTTTTTTATTGATATTTGTTGAAATTATTATTTTGATCCGAGCCGGTTGTCAGGCGGTAGAATGCCAGCATTGCCAGCGCACATCTGGCTAGGAAATGAAAGATATCCGCAGTCGGTACAGTGCCGGGTCCCAGCCGGTTGAATTATACACGGAACGGCTCTTCGCGGCCGGTTACCGGGCGGTAGAATGCCAGTTCCGAGACGGATGGCCAGCCAGCTCCTGGCCAAGTCATCTTTTGGTAGAATACCAGTTCTCGGGCGGTAGGCAGGCGGTTCCCAGCCAGTACCACTACTCCGGCGTCGGTACAGGTGAGGATCCGCGCCGGTTGGAAATTTCCCACTGGGACATTGAAGGGGAAATCGTTTTAGTAGGAAAATCGCGTTATTTACACGTGGAGGGTTTTTTGTACACAAAACATTCCTCTGGCAAGGACACGAAAATATATTGGCAGTGCAGAAGAAGGAATGATTGTGATGCAAGAGCAACTACGGTCAGTGTTGGGTTCGCCGTCAGGATTGTTTCTGGAGGACATTCTGCATCTCACAAACACGCACAAAAAAAAAATTTTTTTTAACTTTGGACAATCCAATTTTTTGGACATTAAGTCCTTTTGACTTTACAACTTTTGGACAATTTGACCTTTGGGCTTTCCGTCCATTGGACCTTCCGGTTTGGACTTTCGGTCTTGGACCTTTTGTTTTGGACAATCTGTAGTGTAATCATTGCGGGAATATTCTCAGCCAGCACTGGTCCAGTGCTGCGCCAGCGCTGCCGGGCAGCACTGACATAGACAGTACTTCGGCAGCACCAGACGGCGTTATCATCCCAGTGCCATGCCAGTGCTGGCGCAGTACTACGCCAGTTGTAAATTTCCCATTGGGAACTTAATTTGTTAAATTATTTAATTTCTCATAAATTTATTATGAGTATGTAATTTTATGAGTATGTAATTCTATGTATTTATTATACATAGAATTTGAATGTTCCGTTTATAGAGTTATAAATCACGCTTTTGTCTGGATCAGGTTCATGTGGGAAGGGAGGTGGTCACATCTTCTTGATGTAGAGTGAAATACGAAATTGTCACTGGATATGCGCATTTAAGAAAAAAAGTATAGTAAAACGCAATTTTAAAATTTTTTTCCTCTTTGAAAGAAAAAATTCTGCGCGACCGAGAAAATTTTCTCATTGAACAGAGTATAGATATTCATCCTTTGTCTTTTCTCATAATAATTGAAGCGAACGAAAAATTTTTTTCCATCTGCCTTGTACGTAAATCGATAGCACTGCAATTTTCTCAGCTTCATGACCGCCCCAAGTCACGCCAAGATATTTATTCTTCTTCACATAGGAAACTATAAACCCTAAACATCAAATCACAATGAGGGGTTAAAAAAAGGAAAAAGTACCCCTCTGTAAAAAAACGCCCATGAGGGGGCAGGGGAAAAAGAGTTTGTCAGACGATACATTTAAGTAGGGAGTAGGCGTGGTTCATGATTTCACATACGTGCGCCAGTCTCTACACGGAGTATTCGTGTATCTACTTGGTGCCTACCTCGCGCCTACTGTATCTACTGTAGTCCGCGTGTAGAGGGGCGAGTCTTGCCGACGACCGTCCCGAAGTGGTAGTGGTGGTGGTAAGCGGGAGCGAGAGAGTGGCGCTGGTACACACACGACGTGCGAGGGTGCGATTTCCAGAAGCGGGACGGGAGAGAGAGAGAAAGAATGAAATCAGGCGAGTGGGGGGAGTGCGAAGGAACTCGAAGTGCCGGTGCACGTGGAGAGGGGCGAAGGGAACCGACTTGGACCGAAGGTGAAACTCACAAACACCCGCTGCAACTTCGTCTCCCAGTCGGCGCGAGACCGCGCTACTGGCAAGTTTTCAATCGTTTGTATATTTGTATACACAGAATATGTCATCCTTCTAACTTTATCGTCACAAGCAAGTTAAACATTTTTCTGTGAAAATTCATAATCAATCAAACATTTTTGTAGCAACAAGAACAAGGTATTTTAAAAAAATATTTTCGATACCTTTTTTTTCTTTTCAAGAATACGAATGACTTTTGAGAGTCTGTGACGATTTAAGTTGTCGAGTTATTAAAGAGACAAGTGAGAATTATTTTTGCGCGAAGGTCACGAGAATTGTGGGTGATGATAACAACGCTTCGTGTGGTGATTTAAATTTGTTTTCATGTGAAGCCGGAAATTTTATTTACAAACAAGATCGTGCGTCGGATCTAGAAAAATCGTGAGTTTTATTTTTGGAAAAAAAATTTCTTTTTCTAATAAGTGTTATTATTTCACGTGTAACGTGAACAACTGAGTTTTGAGGTTCTTCGGATAATTTGCGCGGGAGTAGCAACTTTTTGGGTTCATACCCTCCTAAGGAGTTGAAAGGACTGATTATTGGAAGATTGGCAGATGCGAGTTCGTGTTCATTAGAATTTAGCAAAGACTGGGTAAGCATTTATAAAATTCTTAACTATAAAGGACAAAATCATTGTTTTCTTGCATATTTATATTTAAGAGGAAATCAAGTTTTGTCACGTGTCGACAGGAATATTTATTGATAACTGAAACCTTGACATTTTTTGTTTGAGTAAAATTTATATATGTTGATAAATTGTTCCACATGGATGAGAATTAAACGACTAATATTTTGTAAATAATTTAATTACTTTTGACTTTATTTTACTCTCAAGCTTGAAAATTAATTTTTTTTGCAATGAAACGTATACACTTGAAAAAATTACTAATAGATACTCGGAAGAATTTATTTTTCTTCGCTTTATATATATTTGTCTCGACAAGAAAGAGAATTTTTTTAGTGATTGATAAGTGAAAATTCCAGTTAAATCGAGACAAATAAATAAATTCGTGTAAAAGTGTTATTTAGGTACTCTTAAATTTAATATATAATTCTCAAAACACGGCTATTTATATAAATTTTAATTGTAGAACTAAAAATCTTTCTCTAATTAAAATTATTAAAAATGACTTTTATGATTATTTAAATGTCTGATATATGAATAAGAAGTTCCATTAGGGGATTATAAATAAACAGTACGTTATACATAATCAAAAAAAGAACCAAGTTGCTCCATATTTTAATTCGTTGAAAATGTATAATATATATATATATATAGCGTTGTCGAGGTATTTCAAAACCTTGTACATTGATAATCGCACATTTAATTTTATATATATATATTAAAAATCGCAATTAGAATATAAACGATCGATTTTCAATATATACCTACTTCAGAGGCTTCATTAGATTACAAAATTAACAAAAAAGTACATTTGTTTAAAAGTTACTGATTTAATTGAGAATAATATTCACACCATCAACCATTATGACCTGTTATCTAGGAATATTATATAATAATCTTTAGAATAAAAAATTTATTACGTTCAGTATGTATGTACAATGTCGTGTTATATAGACTATCATATACAATATATATATTATTCATTATGAAACAGTTTTTTTCTTTTCGATTTCATTACATTCTCAATCATAAATATTTTTTTCACGTATATTTTTTATTTACATAAATCCTCTATATATATATATATATAGATTACTTAATACTATAAATTTATACTTTCGATTTATTTGTGTATATACTGATACGCGGTTATTTATTTTTATTGACGTCAATACAAATAAAAAATAATTTTAAAATCCATTTACTGATATTGATTCTGATTAATGTCTTCAATAAATAATTATTTATATTTATGTTGACGAGATTTAACTTATTCAATTATAGTTTTTAATCTTTTTATATTTCTATACTTCCGAAAATTTTAATTCGATTACTAATCAGTAAAATAATCACAAAAGCCAAAAGGGTGAAAATTGGTTTATGAATTAAAATCATGCTGTCGGTTTTAAAAAAATGTTTATATTTCAAACTGAAATATAATATTCAAGTTATACAAATAAGTATTGAATAAATTATTGTTCTTTGTGTCGCTAAATTTTTAAAATCTTAAAAAACTTTTAGTTTAATTACTTATTTCTTCAATAAAATTTGATTTCTATTTAAATATTATTTGTTTATGAATTTATGCCTTTCAGTTGAATTTAGTATATACTTCCGTTTTTAATAATTTTTGTCAATAAATATACATATAATTATAACAATAAAAAAATTTTTGACACTTGAGAACAATAAATGTATTTGATGTAAGAAAATATAAATATACAGTAGAATCTCGATTATCTGAGGTAATGTGGGGAAGAGGTGCCTCGGATAATCGAAAACTCGGATAACACGGAACAAATGAAAATTTCAAAATTTTTAATTATTTTCCATGTGTTTAAATAGTGTTAGAATAATATTAAACGACAAAAATAGACGAAATTTCAAATGCAATGATCACATAAGTGGTTCTGTAAATTTTTTTTCCTGATTCAGTCACTCGATCCGTTTTATCCGAGTTATTCCGTATTATCCGAGCATGTTTAGTGCCTCGGATAATCGGGGCTCGAATAACCGAGATTCTACTGTATAATAGATATTATATGGATGCAGATGACCACCTCAGAAATTCTCACAATGACTTATTATTTAATAGTAAATACGCGCGCACGTTATCTGTGATGAATTACATTTAGTAGTTTCCAAAGCAGTGATATTATATACAGTACGAAAACCTACCACGTCAGTCATATCCCATGAGTGGGAGTGAGACAGACTTATGCGATTCCCATACTTTCCTATGACTGACGGATAGCTTTTCCTACTGTATATATTTTATGCTGAAGACGGTCGTACCGTTGAAACGTTAAAAATTACGTAGTGTTTTTTTTATTAATTTTGATTTGGAAGACTGATATTTCAACACCATATATTTATCTCCATATTTTTACCACTTGATAAATTCCATTGCATGACAAAATTAAAAATATTTAATTTAAGGGCCCTGTAAAAATCGCCCTCAAAAAATGTTTTCCCGCGTGTCGTCTCACTCCTAAATAATTAGAGATATCTCGTTCGCATTTGTCAGGATAATTAGACGAAACCGTGCTGATGAATTATCCTCTCAAAATGAGACGTCAATTCCAAACCCCTTTTTTCCGTATGTTTAAACAATTTTTTCAATAATTATTTATGAAAATTTTGCAAAATTCCGAGAAGGGCGCGGGTCACAGAGCGTTTCTTTTTATTTTCCAAAAAATCCCGACCCAAAATATTCTTTCTTTTTAAATGAGACGTCTATCACGAAACCACTATTTTTTCCCGAATGCCCTTATTAAGTTAAATAGATAAATTTATTAATTAATTAACTGTTGAATATATTTTATGGATGAACATGGAAAAGAATAGGTAGTGATTTTTGCCTTCTGAATTATTTTTTCTAAGAGAGTGATTTTGTTTTGACTTCAGAAAACTTTTTGTCCTTTTTCATCAGATTTTATTTTTATTATACTATATTATTCAGAGCTCCTGTGTGAAAATTGGTTGATACTTGACAAAAAAGTTTAGAAATTTAAAAAGTCTTCTCTAAATGTCTTAAAAGAAGACATTTGGACGTTTACAAATGTCTTTTAAGTGTCTTATTTGACGAGCGTCTTAGATGAAACACATAAACTCTAAATGTGCGCATTTTAGAAGGCTAATAGACGCCAATAAACGTCTTAAAAATGACTACGTAAATATCTCAAACGAAGACACTTATCTTTTTTACAATGTAGGGAATAAGAAAATAAATTCTTTCATTATCATATATATAATTAAAAGTATGTCGAGATTTCAAGATTTAAATTTAGAAAAGTAAGGGTTGAAAAATAATTATACCACAAGTGGTAATGTATATGTGCGAGGGAGGCATAATCGCGCGTGGTAAGCGACGAAGCGTCGCGGCGCTAAGCGTCGGAAGTGGAGCACATATACGTATATATACGTGTTAAGGGCGTCCACGTAGAACGATTTCTCGCTCCCCCAGTTCCTCAATATATTTACCCGGCTCTATTCACAGTCACGCACATCAACCTTCAAATACGCGTGTCTCTTCACGCTTCGCGCACTTGACGTGTGCCCAACAATTAGCGCGCGTTAGCGGACTTTGCGCCTATTGCCAATATCATTTCATTTCCTTAAACATGAAATTTCAATCCAGTTTCTACACAATTCAAATATTTTTTTCAAATGTAATTGCAGTTTAAGTGTTCAAATATTTTTATTTATAAAAGCTGTATTGATTTATAATTTTAAACATTTCACATATTTTAGTACATTTTTTTAAATTCCCGTGCAGAAATATGATAAATTCACTTCGCCTTATTAACTGAAAAAGAAATTCTGCCCCAGAATAACTAGATTTAGTAAACATCAGTTGCATACAATTTATTTCATAAAATTTTTCTTTATTTTATGTTTCAATTTAGTAAAAACAGATCAATACAATATTTTGAAATGCGTTGGATAATATTAGTCGTTGATTGGCGATGTGTGTAAACATTTTGCCGACGGAAGAAAATGCGAGGCAATTCAATTTAGCTGAAACGTTATAATATAATTCTGCAATTATCTATTAGAATCTTCATAAATTTATCTTTTAATGACCCAAGTGTTTTGTATTTGTTTCCTATATAGAGAAACACGTGTAATTTGCCTCAAAGTATAAGAATGTACGTCTAACGTGTAGGTGTTCAGAATATGTTGAATGTAATTTAATTAAATTTTTATCTTTATAAAACTGATTTTATACACTTAAAAAAAATTAGATTGTAGATAAATTATCTATAAATATTATGTTATTATTTATAATAATTTAAATCATAAGGAAATGACATTTACCTGCTTTGGAAACGGATCCTTGAACAGCCTGGAATGATTTTTGTCGATCTCTGTTGCTGATGATCGAACGTGAGCAATCTCTCGGCGCCGCAATTAGGAAATCCATTTGGTGTAATTGCGCGAATGAGCGCGGCTACTGCACTTAATCAAACGACGCCATCTACTTACGCATACAGGCAAAAATTTAAATGCATCTACAAAAGCCGCGTGTGTGAGTGTATGTAAAGTGCACGTCTGTAAGGGAGCAAAAACGTAGGCGCGATACTTGGACCTTATCTTCATGTATCGATCTTTATTCTTACTTGATTCGAAGTCTTTTCTTGTATAGGACCAACTGTTAAGGACAACTATCGTGATCAGAAACGCGATGATGAGCGTTTACGAGTATAATAACAAATTTCGCCCCGTATCCGATCGAACACACTCTCACAATAAATATTCTTTAATCGGAGCGCACACTTTGGCGTTTTATGCTTATTTTATGCATGCGCTCGCATTTTTAAAAATAATTTTGTATATAAAATATTTACGCGTTATTCCAAACATGCGTAAGATAAGACCTAGAAGTTATGATTATATTAAATGTGTGGGTGTGTAATTTTTCGAATCAATTTCCATTTTTAACGAGATCTCACATTTTACTGCTG